GTCCAAAAAGATCCTTTTAATACTGATGTCAAAGAGTGTACTGCCTACGTTTTCTTCCAGAAGCCTTATGGTTTCAGGTCTCACCTTTAGGTCTTTGATCCACTTTGAGTTTATTTTGGTGAATGGTGAAAAAGAATGGTCAATTTTCATTCTTTTACATGTGGCTTTCCAGTTTTCCCAGCACCATTTGTTGAAAAGACTTTCTTTTCTCCATCGTATGCCCTCAGCTCCTTTGTCAAAGATAAGCTGTCCATAGATGTGTGGTTTTATTTCTGGGCTTTCAATTCTGTTCCATTGATCTGTGCACCTGTTTTTGTACCAGTACCATGCTGTTTTGATTACTGTAGCTTTGTAGTATGTTTTGAAGTCAGGGGTTGTGATGCCTCCCGTTTTGTTCTTTTTTCTCAGGATTGCTTTAGCAATTCGGGGTCTTTCGTTGCCCCATATGAATTTTAGGATTCTTTGTTCTAATTCTGTAAAGAATGTCATTGGGATTCTGATTGGGATGGCGTTGAATCTGTAGATTGCTTTAGGTAGAACGGACATTTTAACAATGTTTATTCTTCCAATCCATGTACATGGAATGACTTTCCATCTCCTTATGTCGTCATCCAATTCTCTCAGAAAGGCCTTGTAATTTTCATTATATAGGTCCTTCACTTCCTTATTTAAATTTACCCCAAGGTATTTTATTCTTTTTGTTGCGATTGTGAATGGTATTGTATTCTTGAGTTCTTGTTCTGTTGGTTCATTACTTGAGTATAGAAATGCTACTGATTTATGCAAATTGATTTTATACCCTGCAACTTTGCTGTAGTTGTTGATTATTCTAAGAGTTTTCCAATGGATTCTTTGGGGTTTTCTATATATAAGATCATGTCGTCTGCAAACAGCGAGAGTTTCACTTCTTCCCTCCCTATTTCGATTCCTTTTATTCCTTTTTCTTTCCTGATTGCTCTGGCCAGGACCTCCAGTTCTATGTTAAATAAGAGTGGTGATAGAGGGCATCCTTGTCTTGTTCCTGTTTTCAGGGGGATGGCGTTCAGTTTTTGCCCATTGAGTATGATGTTGGCTATGGGTTTGTCATATATGGCCTTTATTACGTTGAGGTAGTTTCCTTCTATGCCCATTTTGTTCAGAGTTTTTATCATAAATGGCTGTTAGATCTTGTCAAATGCCTTCTCTGCCTCTATTGAGATGATCATGTGGTTTTTATTCCTCAGTTTGTTGATGTAGTGTATCACATTGATTGATTTTCGGATGTTGAACCATCCGTGTGTCCCTGGTATGAATCCCACCTGATCCTGATGTATGATCCTTTTGATGAATTGCTGAATTCTGCTTGCCAAAATATTGTTTAGAATTTTTGCATCTATGTTCATCAGTGATATTGGCCTGTAGTTCTCTTTTTTTCGTGGTGTCCTTGTCAGGTTTTGGTATCAGCCTGATGTTGGCCTCATAGAATGTGTTAGGAAGTGTTCCATCTTCCCTAATTTTTTGGAATAGCTTGAAAAGGATAGTTATTAAATCCTCTCTGAAAGTTTGGTAGAATTCCCCAGGAAAGCCATCTGGTCCTGCGGTTTTATTCTTTGGGATGTTTTGATTGCTGTTTCAATCTCTTTCCTTGTGATTGGTCTGTTCAAATTGTCTGCCTCTTCTTGAGTGAGCTTTGGGAGATTGTAGGAGTCCAAGAATTTATCCATTTCCTCTAGGTTATCCATTCTGTTGGCATATAGTTTTTCGTAGTGTTCTCTTATAATCCATTGTGTTTCTGCAGAGCGTGTTGTCATTTCTCCTCGCTCATTTCTGATTTTGTTTATTTGAGCTTTCTCCCTTTTTTTCTTTGTAAGTCTGGCTAGTGGTTTGTCAATTTTATTTATCTTCTCAAAAAACCAGCTCTTTGTCTCATTGATCCTTTCTACTGCCTTTTTCATTTCAATAGTATTTATTTCTGCTCTGATTTTTATTATTTCTCTCCTTCTGCTGACTTTGGGCTTCATTTGTTCTTTTTTCTCTAGTTCAGTTAGGTGTGCTTTAAGGTTGCATATTTGGGATTTTTCTTGTTTGTTAAGATGTGCCTGTATTGCGATGAATTTTCCTCTTAATACAGCTTTTGCTGTATCCCATATGAGTTGGTATGGCATGCTATCATTTTCATTTGTTTCCAGGTATTTTTTTATTTCTTCTGTAGTTCCTTCAATGATCCATTGCTTGTTCAGTAGAGTGTTGTTTAGTCTCCACATCTTTGTGCCTTTCTCAGCTTTTTTCTTGTAATTAATTTCTAGCCTTATAGCACTATGATCTGAGAAGATGCTTGTTATTATTTCAATTTTTTTAAATTTGTAGAGGCTTGCCTTGTTTCCCAACATATGGTCTATCCTAAAGAATGTTCCATGTGCACTTGAGAAGAATGTGTATTCAGCTCTTTCAGGGTGGAGTGATCTATATATGTCTATTAAGTCCAATTGTTTTGGTTTTTCATTTAGCTCCACTATTTCCTTGTTGATTTTCTGTCTGGATGATCTGTCCATTGATGTGATTGGGGTGTTGAGGTCCCCTACTATTATTGTGTTGTTTTTAACATCTTCCTTTAGGTCTGTTAATAGTTGCTTTATGAATCTTGGTGCTCCTGTGTTGGGTGCATAGATATTTATAAGCGTTATTTCTTCTTGATGAAGTGTCCCTTTGATCATTATATATTGTCCCTCTGTGTTTCTCTTTACCTGTCTTATTTTGAAATCCACTTGGTCTGATATGAGAATTGCAACACCTGCCTTTTTTTCCTTGCTATTTGCTTGAAGTATTGTCCTCCACCCCTTCACCCTGAGTCTGTGTTTGTCCTTGGGGCTGAGGTGTGTTTCCTGGAGGCAACAAATTGTTGGATCATGTTCTTTAATCCATTTTGCCACTCTGTGTCTTTTTGTTGGAGAGTTCAATCCGTTCACATTGAGAGTGATTATTGATGCATGTGGACTTAATGCTGTCAATCTGTCGTTCATTATCTTGTTTTCCTGTGTTTCTTTTCCTGTTTGCTTTAGACTACCCATTTAATACTGCAATTTCTTATGCTGGGTTTCTTAGATTTTTCCTTATTTATGATTTGTGACTCTGTTCTGTACTTTATTTTAGTGTCTACCTTGAAGTTTGTATTTAGAATCTCGTGTATAATATAGTCTATTCTCTGGTGGTCTCTTATCTACTTGACCAATACTGATTTAGACCCTTTGCTCTTCCCCTCCTAAATAATTATTTTCATTTTTTATTCCAACTCGTCTTATTAATTTGTAGCTAGAGTGCTAAGATCGTCCTTGTTTTGGTAGTTTCCTTACCTTTACCCTAATGCTATAATTGAATATTTGCTATCCTGTTCTGGTTCTATCCATTGGTCTCCCTAGTCTGTGGATTGTGTCCCCTTTCTCCCTTTTTTCTTTTTTCAGGTATGAGAGCCTTCTTGAGGATTTCTTGTAATGGAGGGCTTTTAGTTACAAATTCCCTTAACTTTTGTTTGTCTGGAAAAGATTTAATTTCTCCCTCATATCTGAAGGAAATTCTTGCTGGATAGAGTATTCTTGGCTGAAGATTTTTATCCTTTAAAGCTTTGAATATATCACTGCATTCTCTCCTAGGTTGTAGGGTTTCTGTAGAGAAATCTGCTGACAGTCTGATAGGGGCTCCTTTATAGGTTATTCTCTTTTTTTTTTTCTTACTTCCCTGAGTATTCTTTCCTTATCTTTCCTATTTGCCAACTTCACTACTATGTGCCTTGCAGTAGGTGTGTTTACATTGACAAATCTAGGAGATCTAAAACCCTCCTCTACACACATTTCTCCGTTGATCCCTAGATTTGGGCAGTTTTCTTCAATAATTTCGTTAAGCACACTTTCTGCTCCATTTTCCTTTTCCATATTCTCGGGAATTCCTATGATCCTTATGTTCTTACTCCTCATTGAATCCATTATCTCTCGGAGATTTTCCTCATTTTTTTTTATTCTTAGTTCTCTTTCTTCCTCTGTCTGGCACCATTCAGCCTGTCTGTCTTCGATTATGCTAATTTTCTCCTCTATGTTGTCTACACGGGCATTCAGGGAATCCGTATTCTGTTTTATCTGGTCCATTGTGTTTTTCATCTCAAGTAATTCTGTTTGATTCTTCTTTATGATTTCAGTCTCTTTTGTGAAGTAACTCCAGAACTCGGCTTGTTTCTCTATCTTTCTCTCTACCTCATTGAGTTTTTTGATTATAGCTGCTCTGAATTCATTATCACTTAGTTTGCCTAATTCCAAGTCCTCAGGACTTAATTCTGTGGTTTTATTGTTTTCCTTCTTGTCTGGGGCTTTTATAAATTGCTGGGTGGTAGGGGAGGGGTTTTTTTGCATGGTGGTAGAATTCGGTTGCAGTTACAGCCTGTCGTCACTAGATGGGGGTCGAGAGCCACGTGTTATGAGCTGTCCGCCTTGGGGCAAGATGGCTGCGCCCACTGGCTTTGCTGGGGGGGAGGGGCTGTTACTCACACGGCTGGTCTGGGTTCAGATCAGTTCTGTTCTCTGGTCTCCCAAGGCCCTTGATTTATGGGGTCCCCACGGACGGAAGCTTTCTTCCCGTCAGCGGGTCTCCACTGAACCAGCGGCAGGAGTCCTGGATGATTCCTCCATCACACAGCCCCTCCCCCGCTCCTTCCGACCCACGCCGCAGCGATCGCAGACTCTAGGGGAGGGAGCGATGTTCTCTCCTACCGTTCCAGCGCCTCCGAGGGTGTAAGCAAGGTTTATGATCTCCGCCTTTTTGGTATTGTAGGTCTCTAACGAGCTGGCATTATGTTTATTCTCTGAAATTCAGTTCTTCCAATCTTTTGTTATATTTTGGAGGGGAGAGAATCCCGGGTCAGCTCACCCTGCCATTTTGCTCCGCCCCCTCTCTCTGACAGCCTATTTGTATGCTTTTCTAAATGTAAATTGTTGAGAAGGTAACATTAAGTCAGGTTTTCTGTTGTTTTACTCTAGGCAGCACACTTCTGCTTTTGTTCCTTCATCAGGACGCATTTATTCTTTTGGACTTGGTGGTAATGGGCAGCTGGGAACTGGTTCAACAAGCAACAGGAAAAGTCCTTTCACTGTGAAAGGGAATTGGTTCCCTTATAATGGGCAATGTCCAACAGATATCGGTAAGTTCTGTCATATTAAAGCTTTGCTACACACGTTAAAGTTACTGTTAAAATATTGCTCTTAAATGATGAAGTTTTTATGATTGAAATGAAAGAATTCCAAGATACATTGTTCAGTGAAAATAGCAAGATACAGAACAGTGCATATGATTAGTTTGTTTATATTTGCTTATATATGCGTAAGGAAAGTTGAGATAAGTAAAATAATAGAAGTGATTCCAGAGGATTGAGTATATGGGAACTGGGTTGTGGCTAGATACCAGTGCAGGGGAGTGTTTCTGTTTTTTTATTGTTTAGCTTTTTATTTTTTTTGAAGATTGGTACCTGAGCTAACATCTGTTGCCAGTCTTTTTTTCTTTTTTTTTTTTTGCACTCAACCTACTTTTTTTTTTTTTTTCCTGCTTTATCTCCCCAAATCCCCCCTTAGTTTTATATCTTAGTTGCAGGTCCTTCTAGTTGTGGTATGTGGGACACCGCCTCAACATGGCCTGATGAGCGGTGCCATGTCTGCGCCCAGGATCTGAACCAGCGAAACCCTGGGCCGCCTCAGCGGAGCACGTGAACTTAACCACTTGGCCATAGGGCCAGCCCTGTTTTTTTTTTTTTTAACAACTTCTTCTCCCCAAAGCCCCCCAGTACATAGTTGTATATTCAAGTTGTGAGTGCCTCTGGTTGTGCTATGTGGGACACTGCCTCAGCATGGCCTGACAAGTGGTGCCATGTCTGTGCCCGGGATCCAAACCAGCAAAACCCTGGGCTGCAGAGCGTGTGAACTTAACCACTCAGCCACGGGGCTGGCCCCTGTTTTTTATTTTTAATTGTGGTAAAATACACATAACATAAAATTTATTAATGTAAGCATTTTTTTTTTTGAGTGGGGAACATTGGCCGTGAGCTAACATCTGTTGCCAATCCTCCTCTTTTTGCTTGAGAAAGATTGTTACTGAGCTAACATGTATGCCAGTCTTCCTGTATTTTGTATGTGGAACGCCACCACTGCATGGCTTGATGAGCGGTGTGTGGGTCATCGCCCAGGATCCAAACCCTCAAACCCTGGGCTGCCAAAGTGGAGCACGTGAACTTAACCACTGTGCAACCCAGGGTGGCCCAACTTAACCATTTTTCAAGTGTACAATTCAGTAGCGTTAAGTACATTCACATTGTTGTGCAGCCATTCTCCAGAACTCTTTTCATCTTGCAAAACTAAAACCACCATTCTATATTCTGTCTCTATGAATTTGACTTGACTCTAGGTATTTCGTATAAGTAGAATCATACAATATTTATCTTTTTGTGACTGGTTTATTTCATAAACTTAGCATAATGTCCTGAAGGTTCAATCATATTCTAGCATGTGTCAGAATTTCTTTCCTTTTTAAGGCTGAATAGTATTTTATTGTATGTGCATACCACATTTTGCTTATCTGTTCATCTGTTGATGAATTTCTTTCCTTTTTAAGGCTAAATAATATTTTATTTTATGTCCATACCACATTTTATCTGTTCATCTGTTGATGGACAATTGGATTGTTTCCACTTAATGACTTGTGAATAATGCTGCTATAAACATGGGTATACAAATATCTGTTCAAGACCTTGCTTTCAGTTCTCTTGGGTATATATGGAACTTTAAAGTTGTATAACATTTTCTATTTTTTTGAAATTTAAACCATATGAGTATATTACCTACTCAAAAAATTAAAATTTTAAAATTTGCTTTTTATGTCCCTACCGCTTTAGCCAAGTATGTAATTTATTTATTTTTATTTTCTATTATTATTTCAGTAAATCTGGTTGTTTTTCATTGATATTAATTTCCTAACTAAAGAGTTTGAAATATTCGAATGCTCGTTTCTCATTCAGTTGTTTGACATGCAGCAATCAAAATGTGCTTTTCTTTTCTATTTCCTTTACCATCCTACGCTATTCTTTAGAATTGTTTTCTTAGTTATTTTGTCTGTGTTTGAATTTCTTTGAGACTTTTCTTTGAGTTGTGGGATTTGAGTCTGTTGAGACTTTATTCAGTGATGAGCATACTGTGAAGGTTGACGTTTGAAAAGGTCCATGGCTTTTTATTGTGAATGATCTTGAAGATTCTTTTTAATTAATTTTTTTGGTAACTAAAAGGCTGTCTCAGTTATGCTTTCATTTAGCAAAGGTCAGGATATGATGCTATTTTTTCTTGTTTTTGTTTGATTTTGAATTTAGAATATGCTTCATTTTCTTCCATTTTCTCTTAGTTGTGGAAAATGCATTTATTTTAGTAGTAGTAGTCTTTCTCTTATGTCCTTAGCAGCATGTTGGTGTTTCCTCATATCAATTTCTTCCGCAAAACACCCTGTTAATAACCTGATAAAGAGATTTTGTATTTTAAAGCAGCATGGGTGTTGTAAGGAATCATGTATTTCTATTTATAAAGTTTAGTCTCTTTAGGGATGCATTTTATTGCTCTTGAAACTCCATATCTTGAGATTAATTATTTGTATAAAAGTGAAAAGGAGATGGAGTTTTAAAATTAGTTGTTTTGTTACAATTTAGTTTCATCAAAAACTGTTGATTCACAGTAGCCAAAATGTACAGACAGCTCAACTGTGCATCAACAGATGAATGGATGAAAAAAATGTAGTGTATACATGTAATCAAATATTAGTCAGCCGTAAAAAGGAATGAAATTTTGATACATGCTGCATTATCTTGAAAACAGTAAGCTAAGTGAAAGAAACCAAACATGAAAGGATGAATATTGTATCCTCATATATGAGGTACCTAGAACAGTTAAATTTATAGAGACAGAAAGTAGAATAGTGGTTACCAGGGGCTGGGAGGAGGGGAGAACGAGGAGTTGTTTAATGCGTACAGAGTTTGTGTTTGGGATGATGAAAATGTTCAGGAGATGAATAATGGTGACAGTAGTACAACATTGTGAATGTACTTAATGTACTGAATTGTACACTTTAAATGGTAAATTTTATATTATGTATATTTTACCACAATTTTAAATATATATATATATATATATAAAATGGTTGATAATTATTTCGCACTATACTAAAGCTGTGTAGTATAAAAACTAGTTAAATGTGAATTTAATTTACTCAGCTCCTCCAGAGGTGAAGCCCATGGGACCCACCATAAACCACATAAACTATCTGGTGTGTTCTCAAGGCCTCAGGTAAACAAAGCCGTTCTTAACAGGATGTTCCAAAGATTTTGAGATTATCTCCTTGGGGCTGGGCAAACCCTTCTTCAGAATGCGTAAAGTTTGGACAGCTGTATTAGTTTACTAGGTCTGCTGTAACCAAATGTCACAAACTGAGTGTCTTGAACAACACAAATTTATTGACTCATAGTTCTGGAGGCTGGAAGTCCAAGACCAAGGTGTTGGCAGAGTTGCTTCCTTCTCACAGCTATAAAGGAGAATCTGTTCCATGTGTCTCTTAGATTCTAGTGCTTTGCTGGCACTCTTTGGCATTCTTTGACTAGTAGATCTCTGCCTTCATCTTCACATGGTGTTCTGTGTTCTTATCTGTGTCCAAATTTACCTTTTCATAAGGACACCAGTCATTTTGTATTAGGGCCCCTCCCTACTCCATTATGACCTCAACTTAACTAATTGTATCTACAGTGACACTGCTTCTGAATAAAGTCACACTCTGAGGTACATCAGATTAGGACTTTGACATAGGAATTTTGGGGAGACACAATTCAACCCATGACAACGTTCTAGAACTGATGAGTTAATACTTTACTGCACTGGAGGCATCATAGGCATTGGCTCCATAAGTACAGCCAACCTTTGAAATAAAGTTTTGAAATAAAGTTATGACTTGTCATAACTAATTCTGTAACAGTGATTCTCAAATATGACATGTTGGATAAGTTCTTGGTCGCGTAATTGATTTCTTCAATCAATTATGAAAGAGGTACAAGCTAGTAAAAAGGGGATTAGATTCTTACTGAACCCATGCAAATAAGTGTATTACTGTTAAATGATGGGAGATCTAGTAAGAATTTGAATTCTCATTGAATTCTGGGGATCAGCAAGAATCAGTGAGGACGATTGACCGTGAGCTAACATCTGTTGCCAGTCTTCCACTTTTTGCTTGAGGAAAATTGTCGCTGAGCTAACTTCTGTGCCAGTTTTTGCTGCCACAGTGTGGCTTGTTGAGTGGTGCTAGGTCTGCACCTGGGATCTGAACCTGTGAACCCTAGGCTACTGAAGTAGAGTACTTGAACTCAATGACTATGCCTCTGGACCAGCCCCCAGATATAATTCTTTTTTGATTGATATATAACTTTATATTAGTTTTGGGTGTGCAAAATAATGATGCGCTATTTGTATGTATTGCGAAATGATCACCACAGTAAGTCTGTTGACATCCTTCGCCAGAGTTAAACAGAATTTTTTTTTCTTGTGATAAGAACTTTTAAGACGTATTCTCTTAGCAACTTTCAAATGTGCAGTACAATATTATTAACTATAGTCACCGTGCTGTACATTACATGCCCAAGACTGACTTATTTTATAATTAGAAGTTTGTAACTTTTGACTCCCTTCACCCATTTTGCCCACCCCCTACTTCTGGCAACCAACCACCACTTTATTCTCTATCTGTGAGTTTAGTTTGTTTGCTTTTTTCTTTTTAGCTTCTGCATACAAGTGAGATCATATGGTGTTTGTCTTTCTCTGACTTATCACTTAGCATAATGCTCCCAGGGTTCATCCATGTTGTCACAAATGTCAAGATTTCCTTCTTCTTTATGGCTGAGTAGTTTTCCATTGTGTATATATAGCACATTTTCTTTATCCATTCATCCGTTGACAGTCACTTAAGTTGCTTCTGTTTCTTGGCTATTATAAATAATGCTGCACGGAACATAGGGGTGCATGTATCTTTTTGAGTTAGTGTTTTTGTTTTCTTCAGATAAATCCCCAGAAGTAGAATCATGTGGTAGTCCTATTTTTAATTTTTTGAGGAACTTCCATACTGTTTTCCATA